CCCCAAAACCCCAAAACCCCAAAACCCCTCAATCCTTTAAACTGACTGAATCATTATATTATTTCTTGCCCCTAGTTTTCTTGTCTGCCTTGGATAAATACTCACTTGATTCCTTCTTGTATTTCCCTTTGGTTATATTAGGCTTGAGAACTGGATTATTCTCTTCAGAATTCACCTTTCTTTGACTCGTATCTCCCTTAAAGCCAGAAGGAGGCCGACCTTGGGTATTTATCTTTATATCGTACATCACATCGGTTAGATCTTTTGAGGCTTGACGAGTATCCATTCCACTTCTGACAGAGTTTCTGCACGAATTCTCCTTGCCTTTAAGCCTTGCTTTGGGATTCACCTTGACAAACCCTCCTACAGTCTTTATACTTGTGTGGGCCTGAGAGCGGAACCCATATTGATTCTGAGAATGGAGAGCTTTATTTTGAAAGATAGTCTTTAGCTAGCTGCATCTGGCCTGTAATATACTTCATTGTATTCTTGAGCTGCATCTGATCGATTCCTTCATTATTTCTCGTATTATGACATCCATTGTGAACTTCAAGATTAGGTGTGTCTTTAGATGCTCTTTCTCTGAGAATTCTCTAAAAGATAGTTTCATATAATTACCATGCTTGGACGATGCTGTACCATGACTCTGCCTGTCAGCGGCCTCTTCTTAAACCCTTTTTCCACTTTCAAAAGGCTGGATGTAGCAGAAATTGGTCTATTTTTGAGGAAATCCCCTTGAATTTCCATAAATTGACTTCTTATCAACCCCCAACCTATGGTGCTTCATTTGTTTTGCTAAAAGTCAGATCCAATACTCACCTCTGTAAAACTCCTGTTCACCTATGAGGTCAGAGCTATTCTTCTCTGAAGCATTTCTGCCTTGAAAATTGCGAGTTTTGTGGATCTCAGCCACACCCCTTTCAACCTCAAACGAGGAGATATCACTTTTGTTAGCATTAGAAAGCCGAGAAGAGGTTCATTTCCCAAGATTCATCTGGGAATAATCAGTAACTCTTCTGGAAGAAGCCCTTCCAGAGTTCTCTCGGGAAAAATTCTTCCTAGAGAGCAACTTGTTATTTAAGAGGATTCTTTCCCTTCAGTTTTTCCTCAGGCGGCTCATAGCAGATAGTATTTTTGCTCAGAAAGTTCATCTCTCTCGTAGTGACCGGCTCTGAGGAAACAGGAAGGACTAAATCTTGGTTCTCAACTTCGCCTTTCAAGTTGGGACCGATCTCAAAGGAAGCATCTCTTGGCGAGCTAAGAAGGAGATCCGAAACAGTAGCAATGTCATTATTCTCACCTGAGATTTTTTTGGCCACATTGTTCTTTGTTCACATTTGACTTGAGTAGAACAGAATTTGTAAGTATACACTTTATCTTCTTCTGCTTTGAAGCAGCTTTCTTAAGCTTTGAAGAGTCCTTCGCTAGAAGTTTGGATTAAGCAACTGCCGCATTCTCTGGAGCCAAATATATCAAATTTTTGAAAATTATAGCTAGAAATTTAGGTTCAAGCCCCTTGATACAGCCAGAGGAATGCCACTCTGAGTGATTGTTTGAGCTTACTTCTCTGTCACTAATAACCCAGTGACATCCAGGCAATACAAATCAGAAACAAAGCTAGCAAAAACTTTGTAGTAATTCTCAATAATTCCCTGATTTTAAGGTTAAAAAATTTCTAAAATAATCCATAATATGAAATATAGCTTTTAAATCAAAGTTTGAATTACTTCCGATTGACTCCGCTGAAGAAGTTGCAGATATTTATCAACCTCTAAACCGAAGGGTCTAGCGTCAAATTCTATCGAATTGACTGCTACTTATAACTTTACTTAAATTTAATAGAAAATTTTGATGGTAGTCTCAGTAAATATGAAAATGTATTGATGCCATCTTAAAGCTCTATTTGTTCCAAAAGAAGTGATTTTAATTAAATCAGAATTTTAAAGAAAAAATTTAGCTAAATTTCAAAAAAATTTGAGAAGAAAGATCAGCATAGGTGTTAACCCCACAGGGTTGGGCATCTTGAGGGATTCTTCTGATTGCTCATTTAGAAAATTTGCCTCTATTGTTCAGACTATTTTTGGTATTTTAACTTTAGCTACATTAAGGCAAAAAAAATGTGCGATAAACTAACAATCAAATATTTATTGGAACATTCATTTAGAAACTTCAGGTGATTATTAAATTTAGATAAGGCCAATGCACAAAGAGCATCAACTAGAAGAGCTTATTCAAAGACCTAATTAGCTCTTACCTCTACCCTGTTTTCCCATATTCTTGATAGGCTGGGCCTCAAGATCTTGTGCTTTTTCATCAAAAATACTTCCTTCTCCATCCTCAATATCCTGGTCTTGAAAACTAAATGTGAAATAGTGGACTCACTTGGCATAAAGGGAAGAGATAGATTCCATTAGAGTTTCAATATTTGCGACTTTATTCGTGCCTAGCCATAATCCAAAACCTTACCTTTGTGTCTGAATAAGTTCTTATCTGACAAATACCCAAGGTTTTGCTTCTGCTTGACAATCTGGCTGCCCTTCTTGACACTTCATTGCTGCTTCTCAGCTTTGGCAAACTGCTTGGGCTTTATCGGGATATCTTTTCTAAAACTCACGGTTGGCTCTCTTTTGGCTGCTTTAATAGATTCATATTTGTCAAATAATTCAAGAGCAATTTTGCATTTTCCTTCGGGAAAAAGTTCTGCATTCTTCTCCAGAATGAGCCGTTCCTTCTTAAGAATCATATTGTCATAATCTTTCTTTGTGTACATTCCTTCTTGAGAGCTTTGGCAAGACTCCTGAGTCTTGCCAAGTTCGGCTAGGACTTGTTCATAGCAATCATTGAAGTTCTTGACAAGGACTTTGTTACTAAAGATCGGATATTGGCTTACTTAGCATAAAGCATTGGCTTCAAGTGTGGCATTGACTTCATTGCTGCCATCACTGAGATCCGAATCGCGTTGTCCTCTGTTTTACCAACACTACACATAAGGAGGAGCTTACTCTTTTCGATCCTTGCTTTGCTGAAGTAGCTGCTTCTTCTCTACTTCGATTTGCTAAATGTTAAACTTAGTGCCTTGCTTGATAATCTGGGAAGTAATCACTCCTGTATTTTGTAGAGGATTTAGTCTTGTTCTTTACTAAGAATTGCCTTGAACTTTTAGGTCTCCTTTTGATAGCTCGTGAGCACTTCTCCTTGCCATTCTGTGGAGGCTTGTTTCAATTTCCTACATTTTTACTATTTCTAACAGTCTTGGAACCTGAAGGGGAACCGATCCGCTTCCCAGTTAGGTTCAAATCTGTGTTGAAACTTCGAAAACTTGAAGAAGGCCTTGAGGTCTTCCCTCCATTCGGGTTTGCAGGACACTTAGAGCCTAATTGCTGAGTTCCTCTAATGTATTCATTTCTTTTTGAGAAGGACTGACTTCCATAATTATCTTCAAATTCAGATCTCTTGATCTGTTGGTGAATGCTATTTCTGAGAGGGCAAGGAGCCTTTCTGGGGTCCTGTTGCTCTGCTTTACCCAATCTATTATTGAAAATAAACCTCTTCCAGTGCTTAAGGACGTTATTTCTCAGTCTTTCTTCCTCTAGACTTGCTAGAGGTGAATAAATCTTCAATTTCTTGAGCTGGGACTGTTTCTATCTGCCCTTTGGATAACTTCTGTAATTTATTCACATTTCTGGATCTCTTCAGCCTACTGCTTGATTTTGTACTTCTAGTCTTAGATTTCTGAGAACCTAAAACAGTTCAAATTTCAAAACACAAGCTAGTTCCAAAAGAGGATGGCTACCTTTAGGTTTTGGTTTGGAGGCTCTACTTCACACATTTCGTTGTTGGTTTGGCTCTAAATTCTCTTCAGGATCTACAACTTTTCACTCAAATCTTACTTGAGAGTGCACGGTCATGACTTAAAGACATTTTATTTTTAAATTTTAAACTCAAAAAGTTGGGATTTATCTGGGGTTTTGGGGTTTTGGGGTTTTGGGG